TTGGGCAAGCGAAGGCCGGGGGCATGGAGGGAAGGCAGTAGTTTGGTATATAAAAGTACGATGACACAGCGCAACTAGGCCTCAGACTGGCAGCACAACAGCCCGCGACGTAATAGATCCCAACATGAATGGTCCTAGTCTTTGTGTGTATGCATGAATGTGTGGTTGTGTGTGTGAATGTGACTGTGACTGTGACTGTTCGTCGTGGGCTCACAATGCTGCCGGATTGTGTGCACGACTGTCGTGAGGCCCAGTTCGGCACATCCGGGCTACCATCAATCATTGCCGATTTCTCTATATCCATGACTTTCGTGTCGGCCGGACGTCACGAGGTCGGTACACAAAGGACAAGTGAATCAGAACGTCAGATTTCCGTCCGAGTGTGCTCCTGAAACCCCCTCACAGGCCGGGACAATGGCAGAGCCAAGGGGATAGAGAGAGAGGGAAGTACGTCATTTAACGGCATTGCTGAAGTTAAGGCGTGGGGCGCTAAAACGCCCTGAGGCGTTGGGCCGGTTGGTCGAGTCTGGGACATTGCAATCATTCCCTAGGCAGCTGGAATCTACTTTGTCCCAAGTCCTCTGGCCGAGTGGTCAGAATGCTTTCCAGCGTCGGACCTTGAACTTGGTATACAACCAAACGAACAGGTCGGCTTCGTATAGGTAACCTTAACAACGCGACCACATCCATGCAGGGAACGGAGACTGCGATTGAGCTGGACGTACACGGTAAATATGCCAACCGAGGGAAAATGAGGCCAGCATGGGGGTTGGGGGTGGGGCAGAGATGGGCAACACTATTGATACAGCTCCCTTCTGAGCATATGCGTGTGTTCAGCCTGGGGGTGGTGAATGTTTGGGAGAAGAGACCGCTCTCCCAACCATCATCTTAATATTTTAGTCAAATCGGCTTCTCTTGGTATGGCTCAGGGCGTAGAGGTCAAATATCGGAAGTGTAATTGGGTCTTGATGAATAACACGAGGGGACAGGGTCCTCGGTGAAGAGCTTCGCCAGTCCGAGACGTGTTTGGTGGAAGACTGGGCGATCGGTGGTCTCGATGTGGTTGGTGCATTGCATTCTTGGCTAGTTGCATCTCTGTGAATGTGTTGGTTAAGTAAACAAACATGCAGGTGGAATTGTTATTTCTAAACACTTGGTAGACTTGGTACAGAGAGGCTGGTTTGGTGTAGGCCCAATGATTGGACAAGGCATTAACAAGTCTGCTATTGACTGGATCAACGCAAAGTCGATGTCGTCTGAGAGAGTCAATTCTGAGGATTGCGAAAGTCCACTTAAGCTAGCTTTTGACACCCAAATATATATGCATTAACGAAAGGTATGAAGACCAAGATGGTGTGGTCTTTTGTGTGGTCGCAGTCTCCTTGCGTTGTATAGAAGTTGTTTGACCTTGTTTTCGCAACTCGGTCATATCGGTAGGAAGACTTAGAGGAACACCTTGTCCGGAGTCCATTGTATGCATCATCATTTCCATAGTGGGACCGTGGATGTGGTACATTCACAGACGTTTCGCCGGCATCGTCAGTGAGTCCCGCCATTCGTAGCACCACATTACAACTTGTCACTTGTCTATTTGACTATTTGTAATATGGTGCTACGAATGGCAAGACTCACTGACGATGCTGACTACGATGCCGGCGAAACGTGTGTGAATGTACCATGTCCACGGTCCTACTCTGGAAATGATGATGCATACAATGGACTCAGGACAAGGTGCGTTCCTCTAAGTCT